GTATTCAGCATGATAGAAGGTTGTAACATACCACGAAGACCATGAGCAGGCCAAAGGCACCCTGACTCGTTGTTCACAATAGCTGAGTCGTACCTACCAGAGTTCCAGACATCAGAAGGCGGCACACAATTCAGGGTCTGCGCGGGCCGTATGATGCTACTGTCGTGAAACTCTGTGTCCTGTAGGCGAAGTTTGAACCAGATTTGAATTTTATCAAATGGCAGGGAAGCAGTAGGTCCAGCCCTCCTGGCTCCCCCAATTGTGTGGACATAATTCTGTCCGTGGGTAGCTTCGCGACGAAGAAAATCAGCAATGGCCAGCCGTAAGTCAGGAAGGCCGAATTTGATAGCAGCATCGTTGATGGAGATGGATCTGATGGATGGGGAATATGTGAGATGATAGGCCGTGCGTCCGATGACGAATGTGCGCAATGGCAGAGGGACAGTCCCAACCTCCTTATGCTGGAGGATCTTCGCAATCGCAAAGTAATTGGTGATTGGGCGCGAATGTCCAGGACATTTTATAGTGGCCGTAAATTCCGTGGGGAGGTCATCATCATCATCCGCATCAAAGTCAACATCATCACCAATATTGTCATCCTGTAGCCTCGAGCTTGCCATACCATCCACGAGACTCATTGCAAGGTCAAAGCGACGGCACTTATCAACCCGGTCGAGATGTCGACAAATTTGAGGATCATAGTTGTTGTTGTTGCTTGATCGCGCGGGGTCTTTAATCTCTGTAATGTGTGCATGCTCTGTTGTGTCTGCAGTCCATTGCATGGCGACACCAGTGTTGCGGATGCTGGGAACTATACTCTGCATGAGCTCCAATTTTGGAATGTACCAGTTATCGATAACTTTGTTCTTGTTGCCTCGACGAAATCCTCCAGCTGTGATAGCGTGTTTATTGGCGTGAAATTCATCGAGGGCTCCAGAAATGCGCTTGATGTCGTCTTCATCAATACGTGGTGACTGGATGAGATACCGAAATTCCATCAATGCTCGGACAGCAGTGATCACAGCACTAGGTGCTGCGTCCGCACTGACTGCAACGATCGAACGCTGAATGTCACGTTGAGTTCGACCTGTAACCTGTTTTAGCTTGGAGATACCACCGTAAAAATGACGAAAGCCAGTGACGGGCTGCAACACAGAAAACCGGAAATCAATTTCCATATCCCCGACCGCACAAATCATCCACTTGACGTCGTGATCGTAGAATTCTCGGTGAATGAGATGCAGAAATTCTGGAGTGAGGAAATGAGACGGTTCACCAAGGGTCCAGTCCTGCCAGAAAGGTTTAGAGACACCGTTCAGGCGAAATTTCTGCGCTTCGCGAAAGAAGGCTTCAATATCGTTGGGATCTGCCCTTGTTTGAACGACAGCCAGCTGTGCAAGTGTGGTTGATTTCGTGCGAGGTTCGTGACGGAAAGGGTCTCCGAACTGCTTGAACATGGCCATGGTGACCGGAGATGTTTTCCCACCGACAGTAGCTAGCATCATAGCCTCTGGAGTGTCGACAATATAGCTTGCCAGGGGGGTAAAACAATAGCGGCTATGTCCAACAGGGTCTGATAACATGACTCCTTCACGTGCAGCCTGCTTGAGTGGACGCAGGACGATATCTAAACATTCATGAATTAAGCGATCCTCGAGTACACCTCGCATGCGTTTATTCTTATGTATAAATTTAGGTACGGGGAGCAAGGCGGTGAGTACAAAGGAGTTGGACGATGTCTTGAGTCGTGTGGACATGTTGATATTCGCAAGGCTGACGAGAAGCGGGTGTGCAACTCTGTCACCCGTCATCGTGGATATATTCGTTTTGTCGGATGATAGAATGGTTCCAAGGAGTGTTGCGCCTTTGGGTAGGGCAGACTGTTGAGAAACCATTAAGTTCAGCGACTGGTGCAAAACATGAATATATACCTGCATATTCCATGCGTCATCGCCTGTCATCCATTCTGAATATACACGACACAAGCGTTGTGCAGTAGTATAGACCCTGCGAGGCGTGAAGTCTAACCGATCGTGAAAAAAGGGATGATTCAGAATGGCTGAAATACAGTCCAAGGGATCACGCCAGTACAAAACGACAGGTGATTTGGTGGGATGACTCGTAGAGAGCACTTGGGACATCCAGCGTGGACCACTGGGCAACATTTCTGCTCTGCCTCGCAGTTCCTTGGCCGAGGAAAAAGATATTGGAAGACCCTTAATCTTGACAAAAGACTTATCATCGGAATTGTAATGAAAATGAAACAATTTGCTTACTATGTCGAGTGATAAAAAACTGTCTATCTTCCCCATGCTCAATCCTGAGCGCAGTAACCACGATGCAATCTCCCAATCCTTCCGGCCACTGAATGGGTAATAGGGATTCTTGGCACGGTACACACTATTCTCATCAGAATTGAATAAGTCGAGGAAGGTGTACCCCATGCCATACGTCCGAGAAGATTCGGGATATTGGTCGACGAAATCTGAGGCACCATTCGGAAGTAATCCCTCCTCAGAGGCCTGGCCACCACTCTCACCGCTACCTTCAAATGACTCGTCTCTATCTCCGAATGTGAACTCAACCTCAGCCTGAGGCCCACCACCGGGAATATTCGGTCCGTCCAAGTCATCTGTATTCATAGAATCGTCAGATAGGTCCCGCAGACGTATTAAATCCTGTAGCCAGGTGCTACATCCTGAGCGAGGCTGGCTCATGTGACGAGCAACAGCAACCTGATCTCTGAAACTGGCTTTACCGCATGAAGGACACTGGAAATTGGACATGATGGTCCTCGCAAAGTCCGACACTCATGAGTCGTGAGAAGCCCAATTCATAATCAACAACTTACTCTTTGTTTCTCTGAAATGTCAGCCCCACCAATCAGTCTTAATCTCAGCAATGATATCCCATCATCATCTTCGCGCCTGATGCCTTGTACGCGCACACACTCTGTTCAGCAATGTCCAAGTTGTCACTCGTGTCGTCACGATTCCAGCGGTATTTCTGACCTGTATGATATAGCCGATGGTATCAGGTCAATGGTAAGTCAATCATATTGTATCGCATTCGCTCTAAGTAACATGGTACTTACAGTCAATCAACGACACCGATGAACTTGAAGCCAACCTCGTCATGGACCTAGCGAGGGCGAGGCGGGATGTATTTAGGGCGGAGAAGGTGCTAGCGGATTGTGTAGTGCGAGAACGCGAAATCATGGCGAATCTTTCTAAGCACCAGTCCGACGTTTCGAAGAAAAAGCTCGACAAAGCAGATATAGGATTAGGGTATATGCGAATTACTTTTCAAAAATACGGTCTTTCTCACCGTTCACTTGCGCCATGCAGTTTGCAAGGTAAGTCATATCTGTTCACATTCGCCACTGCAAACTTCATGTCTTATCACAGAACAATCCAACCGTCGTGTATCAGTAATTTTAGACTGATGACTCGAGCTATTCTTATTCTTTTGTGTTCAAGTTCGGCGCGCGCATTAGTAGTACTAGTATGTACAGTACTACTACTATATATTGGTATTTCGTTGAATATAATGTTTGTATCGTAATTGGGGACAATGTGCAAATTCAAGCTAGCAATTAAAAGGAAGTTCCGAGCCTGCTACTACTAAGTACTAAGTACTAAGTACTAGTACTACTAGTAGACTTCAACACTTTAAAAAGATTGAGGCCGTTGAGCTGGAAACCATTGAATTTATTTTGAACAGTCTGACCCGGTTGTGAGCTCTGTGACCACTTTGGCGTCTGGGGCTGTACGTTCTGTGAGCTCTGTCGCCACTTTGGGTGGCTGTGGGAAACTGTCGAAAATTACCATATCTGTGAAGAAATTTCTAGTTTGCAGATGTAGGGAGTTGCGCTGATAATATTTGTCTAGCTTTTTGTCGAGGTCGTCGATTTCTGCCTGGGTGGGCACAGTACCATCCTTCTTGGTCACAGCACCGGTTTTCGCGTCGATCAGGAATGGTATAGGCTTTACTGCCTGGCCGTCCACATAGCGCATCAATCCTCGTGCTCCAATTGCCGTCAAGGTACGTTCTTTATAAGTGATCCAGTTCGTGCCGTCTTCGGCCAATTTGGGTACATTGAACAGGGATGAACTGGTAGCGGGGAGCGTTGTGTCCATGGCCGGGGCAGGGCTCATAACCTATTGTGTGTATAGCAGGGCGTTCACGCGAGGCTAGACAGGTAAGATCTCAGATCTCTTTATTGACGAATGTTTTTACCTAGACAGGTAAGCTACGTTATACGTTAGTACTCGTACTCAAACGTTACATTAGAAGACTCACATCTCAGTATTCGGATTACGAATCTGAGATGTTTCGATGGCGGATGGCTGCTTTTATATGGTGAGTGCGCCAGCTGGCCTTTTTGATGAAAACATATACTAAACGAATGAAAAAGATAGCCGACGTTGACACGTCGTCTGGAATCTCCGTTTGGTGGCGCTCGCACCTCGAGCTGCCTTACTCTTCGGCCGTAGTCCCATTTCCTCCTTTCTCGGCCTTTCTGTCCTCGGGTTCATCGGCTCTCAACATATATATGGTGTGTATATAGATAACACGAAGACAATGTCCCCAGGGACAGTCAAGTACGCGCTTCAGCTCACACTTACCACACACCAGATACATACACTTACGATACGATAGGAAGAGAGCAGTCAAACTCATCTTCGAATGGACTGCGCGCCTAAAACGGCCGGCAGGAACGGCGGACTGACGGGGGACATCCTCACGTCAGGGCATTCGCGAGTCCAGAAAACACGAAGACAAGTATGGCGTTTGAGATGGGGACTTTTTCTGAGGCATTCGGTCGTGCTTGGAGTGGGGAAATCGCTGTATGCGATTCTGCTATCGATAGGAGTGTATGGTGTATACATACGCTTTCGAATGGATTGCTATAGGCCAGAATGAGCATAAGAGCACTGGTGGCTGCCCAGACTCTGCCTGTGCGCCACTACGATGTACATCATACAATCGACTCCATAGAACACCGATCCCCGTAGTGTTACAAGTACAAAAAGCAAACAGATCCGTGCAAAACACTTAGTATCATATGTAATCAATAAACCCCAGGAACAAGCCGGTATCTCACTTTCTTTGCCCAATTCTCCCATTCTTCTCCCAGAGCAAGCTGCAACATTCTGTCCTCCACTGCAGGTCGGCTGAGGGAAATCCAAGTGCCTAATGTGACAGATCCGAAAAAGACAATCATTGCTAACACTTTAATGAAAGGCACTTGTAGGATCCCAGACTGCCTCATCCACGACCCTTGGCTTCCGTTCATGATGGCAGCCCCAGTAACTTGGAGAAGGAGACCAGTGTAGCTTGGGTGGCGAACCACCGAGTACGGCCCACTTGTCACAAGTCGGTGCTCTTTTCTGACGCTGAGGTGGAAGCTCCAAAACTTTCCTAACGTCGATATACAATAAAGCCTCAATGCGCCGCCAGTCGCGATGGCAACACTGCCAGCAAGGAAAGCAGGGGTGATTGGTGTAGGGTGAAGAATGCGCAAAAGCTGCACGGCTCTAGCGGCATAGATACCTTCTGGAATATGCGAGGGATATATATGTATGGCCAGGATGCTAGCCACTTCAGCAAACGATGCTGCCCATGCACTGATCTGTTATATTGTTCACAAATTGATGAGGACGACGACCGGAGGTCAGGAGAAACTTACCACCGCTAAATCCATACAGCGAAGTTTCAAATACCATCCCATGAAGGATTCGAACGACGAGGGCACCACCTTCTCTCCAGATGACGGGGGCGGAGAAGGGGTAATTGATGAAATATGGCTGCCAATAGCAGAAGCTAGTATGAAGGGAATCTTCAATAGACTCATAGTGTGTCGCTGTACTTGATCCTGGAGGTGTTGATAGGAACTGATCAAGTCGAAGGAATTTTGATAGGGTAATGTCGATTCTCGTTTACTTGCACACGATGCTTGCTCTTATCTGATGCAGGACGATGGACTTCTATTAAACAGGAATATCTTCGGGTCTCGCTACCGCTTCAGGAATGAAACGGGTGATTGGTTCAAGATTGGTTACTATATCAAACCTAGACAAAATGTCAGTCAAGGTGTCCGTGTTGTTTTGTGTGAGGTACCCACCGGGCGAAGTCAGTGGCGTTCCGAGTGTAACCTTTTCTGAGCTGCACAATAGGCGAGCCTAGTTGGTGGACAGGAGATGTCCGTACATGTGTCCCGAAGTAACTCCACCAGTGTTACCGATAGGTGAATGCGCTGGCTTGTGTCCCACGCGTGGGATTGACTGATGGGTACAGCTGGCGTTCGTGAGCTGTAGGCAATTGCCCGGTGTAGCCAGGGAGGTTTTGGAAATTGATCTTGTTAAGTTGGGATTGGTCATCGGCCTGCGAATATGATCACGATTGACTTGGTGACACTGGAGAGTTATGTTGTTGTTATTGTTATCGCAATAGCTTGACGTTCGTTTGCGTTTATGGAGGCATCGTTTTCGGCGCTGGTTCTATTCACAGGTACGTCCTCCGAGTTCCCCTGTCATGACGGAGAATGGTGGGGGAATTCTGCTCACGGGCGCACGTGAGGGCACGTACCAGCGGTCGCCGCAGTACAAATTGTGGTTCGATATCCGGTGTCCGCGCTAGCCTGACACTTCTGCAGACTCTCACATTTATCCTCCACCTTAGTACGCCCTGACGTAATTGCATCGTATGAGCACCATCTACAGCTGCCATTAACGTGAGCGAGGTAGTCCTCGTGTGTGCCATCCTCGAACTCGCCAGTGCACTGTTCTGGGAATGACAGGTTTATTAATTTAAAAAGAGCGCTAGGAAAGAGTCATGTCTGAGTAAATATCAGGCCTTCTTCAGCATGCACGACAAATTGCAATGGACTTCGAGTTGGTTACCTACTTTCAAAATTCAAGTAGTAACCTATTCCTAATTTCATACACCATGACCACCTGCAGGTGCGTTCCGAGTCTGGAATACAGCCCTGAAAGAATTAAAACAATCAGCTCGTGCACTACTTGAATAACTTACCCTTGTTGATGAATTGATGTTGCCTAGGTGAGGATCAGCCCGGTAACCCCGCGTGCGACGTAGTATTCCAGGTTGATGGCATTTGGAACATTGGTAGGTACAAAACGAGAGTGATCAGGGGATATCCATCGATGATTGGAAGTAGATGCTCGCAAATGTCCAGCAGAACCAGTTGCTAAGTAGTCTCCCGTAATAGGCCAGCCAGATAGAAGGAAGACAGTTGAGACTACTTTCAATCATCAGAAGGAACGGCTTGTTCCTTCTGACGATTGAAAGTAGACCTGGTCCCCGGTAACCAGTGTAGGGTTTAGTGCTACTAGTAACTACTACATGATAGTAGCAACTTCAAGTGTTTTGTGGTGAAAATATTTGCTGAGTCAACATGCGCCGCTTCTCCCACCACTATCCATCATGTATCACCTCTTAAAAGGCTTCCATGAGTACTTGACGAGGTAATGCTTCATATTCGCTCCTTCACCTGCATCTGAAGATGACAGGAAAGAAGAGTTTTCAGTGATTATCATCGGCCTTGATGGTGCTGGCAAAACCGTGCGTCTCGTGCCTCGCCGTTGAGTTCAAGTTCATCGCGCTGAGAAAAGACTCTGAGATTAGACACTTCTGGAGAAAATAAAGACTCTATATAACGAGACTCCTGGGCTTGACCCGTCCAAGATTGGCCCGACTGTGGGGCAAAATAGTACACGTTTCTCAGAACTCAGTTTCAATTTCGGCGCTCATCAATGTGAATTTGACATGCAGCTGGCAAAATATCTCTCCCATCCAGTATCATCAACTTCTTCGACCTCGGAGGACAACGCGGTATTCGGTCCATCTGGCACAGATACTATGACGACTGTCACGCCGTAGCGTACGTTATCGATGCGCAGGACCGAGAGAGGCTCAGTGAGGGCTGGGAAGTCTTTGGTACGTACGCACCCTTCACCACTCCTTCCACTATCACAAAACGACGAATCCAAGACAAACCACTCACTCACAACTCCTACAGACACAGTTCTTTCTTCCCCTCAAACGCTTAACATCCCCCTCTTACTCCTCGCAAACAAACAAGATTCCCCTTCAAGCCTCAGCGTTTCAGAGATAAGGCAGGATTATGAAGATTGGGATCAGAGGAGGAGGGAGAGCGCGAGGAGGAGGTTTGGCGAGGACGAGGATGCGGAAATGGAGAGGAAACGGGAGAGGATTGCTAGTTTGGATGTTTTGGGAGTTTCGGGGCTTGATGGGTGAGTGGGTTTTACGCATGCGTGAGGTTGGCTGACTGGGCTGACCTTTCAGAGCTGGCGTTCGCGAGGCCGTGGATTGGTTGTTCTTACGTGTGCAGAATAGTAGACGGTATGTGAACTAGATTGGGTGGTTTGGGGTTATATTTCTGACTTGGTGTTTTTGTGCAGTGACTTGGGGGATCGATAGTGAGGCTTCGAGTATCAGTTTATGTTGGCGGTGTCATCTGCCTGTGTACTTGTATGTACGGGGCTACCTGTTGACCGTCTTATTGAGTACGAGCTTTTCATGATGATTGATGTGGTGCACTACTGGATTATTGGTTGTTCACTTGATTCACAGGTACATCCTCCCTCTCATACCACCTCGGTTCTGACCCAGAATGATGGGTGGTGTTCCGTGCTTGTGGGAGTGCTCTACGTTATGCTTTTACTTGCGCGATGGTCACCGCAGTAAAACACTCTGACTCGTTGCTAACCTGGTGTGCGCACTTGCTCATCCCTATCCAAACTCTAGCGTTCAAAGGTCCATGTTTCACCACATCCACAGGCATTGACTCGCCATTCCGCTGTGTGGTGCTCTGGCAGTGCTATCTTGTTCTTTTCACAAGTTCTTCTAGGTCGGATTTTGCATACCTCAATTGAACATCGTCAAAGAGACTTGTATATTGAATGCTTCAATCGCGAGTTCCAAATCATGGTTATCGTTCTCGGTGACGTGTGATTCTGGCTATGCACTTCATAACGAGGTGACCGTCAGTACTCCTATGGTAAGTACATATATATATTATATTTCCTACATCACTGGCGCTGACCCACGCAGAGGACACGTCCCTAGGAAATTGTCCTCAGGTAACCCAAACAGGTAACACGTACCCTTTGTTCCTTCCGGGCTGACTGAGCGTACTTCGCATCTGATACTGAAAGTGCAGGAATGCATAGCAGCTGGTAAAAGTTAATCATAGGAACCCACTCTAGGGGAGTTTGACAACCCTCGATCTTCCCATTGACGATTCAAAATTCTCATATCAGAGTTCTGCGGCGTGTAGTACGCCTCGAGGGGTTGTTATCGGGATTTCAGGCGACTCAGCTGAAAAAAAAGATAGCGCTAACGTGTTTGAATCTTTCATGACATGGCTTCTGAGACTTTCAGGGTGTAAGCAAGGTATTTTGCTCCTATACATTGGTCGTTGTCTGATCCGACAATACACATGTGCAGTATTGTCTTCCAAAGTGGTCAACACCCTTGCCACGCATGCAGATCCTTTTTTTGGTTTATTACACATGTACAATGGACCCAGGATACCATAAAACACCAATCCCGTACAACAAAGAAACAACCGCGCGGAACGCTCAGTATGTATGTGATCAATAAACCCCAGGGAGCAATCGGTACCTCACCCTCTTCGCCCAATTCTCCCAGTCTTTTCCCAGTGCACGCTGGAGCATCTTGTCCTCCACTAGAGGTCGAGTGATGCACATCCAAGCATAAAATGTAAGTCCGAAGAGGAGGATTACTATTAGCACGTTTACTAAAGGCACTTGTAAAATCCCAGACTGCCTAAACCACGATCCGTGCTCTCCATACATGGCAAGGAGCCCAATATATTGGAGAAGGAAACCAGTATAGCTTGTGTGGCGAACGAGAGAGTATGGCCCACTCCTCACAAGTCTGTGTTCTCGTCTGACGCTGAGCGGCCAGCTCCAATACTTCCCCAACGTCGACATACAATAAAGCCTCAATACGCCGCCAATCGTGACAGCAAGACTTCCGGCAAGGAAAGCAGGGCTGATTGGCGTGGGGTGAAGAGCACGCAAAAACTGCAGAGCTCTGGCACCATAGATGCCCTCTGGAATTCGCGAGGGATCTCTATGTGTGACAAGGGTGTTGGCCACTTCAACAGACGATGCTGCCCATGTGCAGATATGTTTATCGCCCACCGATCCATTTAAACAACCATTGATACATCGAAGCCACACATCTTTTTTATATCATTACCTCAATGACCTTCAAACCGTAGGATAACGACTTCGAACTTGGAGGGGGTATCGCGCTGCAGTGATCTTTTATGCGCAGAAAGTCAGGATCCGGCTTCCCTTGAGCTGGATGTGCTCCTGGGGACGACGTGTCCTCTGAAGGGTGGTCCAGTAATTCATACTTATGCTAGCAACCGTGCCATACTTTGCACAGATGGGGTTAACGCAGAAGACTGGTTTTGCCTCGCCACGGCTGTATATCTACAATATATACAGCACTACGCCGTTGGAAAACGATGACCACGATGGGCTATTCCATCCGGACAATGACAGCGAAACCATGGGAATCTCGGCGCCGTGCATCGGGAGCGCAGCGTACTAGCTGGCTAATGCGCAAATTGTCGTGTCATAGCGGACAAGCAGTACACAGTGCTTACCGGTTACCAACCCCCGACTCGGCGGTACCCTAAAAGTCGGGATAAATGTTTCTGAGATTATCCTCGCGAGGGCCAGTCCTTATCAGGACAGGAGTCCACTACTATCATGTACAGACAAAAACGAAGTCTGTCAGGTTTTGAAACAGAGAGACTTCGAAAATCTTCGAAAGCGTTGCGACGACTTGGCTATCATGAGTTGATTAAGGAATACATATACCAGGCTCAGTACTAACCTAATTCGAACTCCACTGGAGTGGGCACTCATGGTTTCAGCGCAGGATCCCATATTACTAAGCTACTAGGGTTCAGCATCGGCAACTTTCACTGGCATTTGCTCCGTTGCATCATGCATGTGTTGCTATTTCCTTCAATTTGGCCGATGAACTACAGCGAAGGTGTTTTGTAACACATGTGCTAGTTCTTCCAATGTGTGAAAGAACAGGCCCCTAGTAGGCCAGTGCGCCAGACGCGACGATCTATAGCGACTATGAATCGAAAGTCCGCGATGCCGAAATGCGGCACAAAGCCACGTCGCTGTACCGTACTACGTGCCCGTCTCCGTCAAAAAGTTTGTGGTTTTTTTGCCTTATTGAGTGGTTCGTGTCGTTGTATGTTTTTCACACCTTTGTCTCTATGTAATGTCTCACTTGTTTGTGTGCAGGTGGTACTGATACAGCCGGGCAGAGTCGGGGACTGGCGGGTTACTACCGCCGCCGTTACGATAGAGTGTCCGAACGCAAAGAGAAGGGGCAGATGAGTGACGTCGGCCCCGAATCTGCAAAGTATCAGTGTTTCATTTCAATATATTCGATTAGAAAACGGCTTACATTAGTAGTATAAAGCCTAGAGCGAAGCCAAAGGTGCGTCTCAGTTCTGTTCCCAGAGACTGAGACTGCTTATCTGTTGGTTCTGATGGGCGTCATAAACTAGAGTTTGGTCGTGTTAAACTGCGTCTAGCTGTTCAGGATGGCTTTGCTATTCTGAACTCGTAGTGCTGAGTCTGGGATGTGGCATAGTAAGTGTTCAGTAAATGATCTCTTCTCGCATTTGTATTTTTGCATTCAGTTATTGCAAGATGAGATACTCGTTGGTCGACATGTTGGCGACTGAATTTTATTTTCTGCTGATCTGCACCCGATACTTGTTAGTGTTTACAAACCTACTATCGCAACTAGTGTATCGATGACGTGAAGCCTATAAATACAGATGAGGTTGGTATCAAAATTGAGGATATCTGCCTCACTACGTTACGCAGCCCTCCCATCAACTCACCAGCTGCAAGATGGATATTCACAATTCTCATGAAATCATAACAAACGAGACAACAGCTCTCATATGTGCAAAGGGCTCGAAAAAACCTAGAACGCCCCTTCCAAAACTTCAGATAGCCATACTTATAACGCTGCAACTTGCGGAACCCATCGCTTCGACATCAATATTCCCGTACATCAATCAGGTATGGTTTTGTAATCCTTTTCTTCGACCTTTGATACTGATTTGCTCTCTTAGCTGATCAGAGAACTTGATATCACTGGGGGTGACGATGCGGCTGTAGGATATTATGCTGGAATCATTGTAAGTGCCAGGATTACGTCTTGCGAATAAAATGGTTCGCTCATTGGATGTGATTGGCAGTACTCTCTGTTTTTCGTCGGACAGGCGCTGACGGTGCTGAAGTGGGCTCGGCTGTCTGACCGCATTGGACGTAAGCCGGTATTAGTAATCGGACTATCGGGAACTTGCATTTCGATGTTGTGTTTTGGCCTTTCGACAACCTTCTTTGGCCTTGTCGCTAGGTACGTCTTTAGCTGAAGGAAATATGCATAGCTAACACAGCTTCTCTAGCCGCTGCTTGTGTGGTATTCTCAATGGCAATGTTGTAGTAATGAAGACTATGGTGGGAGAATTGACGGATTCCACAAATATGGCTCAGGGATTCGCCTTGATCCCGATCGTCTGGTGCATTGGAGGCTTTATTGGGTAAGCGGCGTCGTTGACGATGGAGATGGCAAATAATGAGATCGGCATGTCAGTCCTTTGATGGGAGGAACATTCGCGCGACCGCAAGATCATTGGCCGGTATTATTCTCCGGTTCATTCTGGAGAAATTACCCCTACTTTCTGCCTTGTGCAGTGGCAGCCTGTCTGCCCGTCCTGACCCTTTTCATGATGTCAATCTTCCTAGAAGAAGTAAGTTTTACATACCTGCCATATCGCACACATCACTCACGATCGGTAGACATTATCGACAAAGCGCCGGCCGAAGTCCACTTCAACTACGATCAGCGTTTCAAGTAGCCCCGACGGAGAAGCACTCGTTACAAACTCGATGGCCAACATGCCCTTGCGATCCCTCCTGACGCGTTCGGTTGTTATCCCGATTGCAAACTACGCCATGCTCTCCTTCCTTGACATGTCTTTTATGGTTCTTCTGCCGTTGTTCTTCTCGACACCTACTTACCTTGGCGGTCTTGGATTTGACCCTGCTACTATCGGCTCGTGGATGGCGTTGTTTGGGATCATAAATGGTGTTCTTCAGGCATTATTTTTTGCCAAAATCGTCGATTGGATTGGTCCAAAGCGTTTATTCTGTGTCTCAGCGTGGTGCTACCCACTACTCGTGGCTATGTTTCCGATATTATCGTGGATTTTACGTGCAAGAGGGGAAGTCGATCATGTAATCACATTTGCCTTGCTTTGCTTTATAGGTATAGAAGTCGCATGGGATATGGGATATGGTGCGTGTTGCAATAAAACCGTCTAGTCATTGCAAACA